TAACTAAAGGACGGTTTCTCTATTCGAACTCTTGCCTACTTCTTAAGCTTATATGCGACTCGATCGACATACGACTCCTCGTCTACCTTTAAGGTGCCTAGCTTGTTGCAAGACTTGCAGCGCTGATTAAACACTACAGCATTGTACCTATTCCTTAGATATCCCCTAATTAATATAGCTACCTTCTTACTAGCCTAGCTATAATTAGCACATATACTGTTGTTGTACACAAACGTGCTTATAACGTAGGTTAAGTATGTGTTATAGACACCGCTGTCGCTATTATTTATATAAAAGTGTGGTGAGGCGATCTTATTAGAGACTGCACTCACAACATCCTAATAAAGCGACGGAAACATCTACGAAGTCTTCGCACTTTTTCTACGATTTTGTGCCTTTCCCTAAGCTATTGTTGATAGTGTAACGATCGTGCTACGAGTTAAAGTAATAAAGTTACTAATGCAATATTAGAGGATAAGAAATAGAAGATGTAGAAGTAATTAAGTTTAACTTTTAAAGTAGACTCCCGCTAGCTAGCACGTCCTTAAGTGTGTTTTTTGGGTTCTAGGTGTAGACGTACGATCGAGCTAGCTGGCGCGAGTATTTGTATGAATATAGCGTAAGAGAAGTTAAGAGAATCAAACGTACTGTAGTCCGCAGAGAGGCTGTGTAAAGCATAGAATGCAGCTAGAGTGGGAGTTGAACGGTGAAGTAGATGAGAATGGTGAGGTGGATGAGAACCGTAAGGTAAGTGAAGTGGGCTTTATAATAAGAGATTTAAATAGCAAATAAGTTATTTAACTCTCTTTTACTTACTACAGGCTTTTCTTAGCTAGCGACTTGTACAATGCTATTATTCGTCCGCCGTGCCCCACTAATATTAAACACAGTTTGCCACCCGTAAGTGCGCCACCTCTTACCTAGAATATTCGGGCCTATCGTCACCTATGTTAGTCCACCTTGCTCACCACCTTCTATCTTCTGCACCTACTCAGTAACTTCTTCAGCCTTAACACTCTAGTCCCTCCTGCTAGAACTTAGCTGGTTCTCACGATACCTATAGGTGACAACACAGTAGAGGGCATGTCTAAAAGCGACGAGGAACGAAGAAAATCGACAATGTGCTCTAACATTATCTAGTTCAAACATGCTAGAAATAATTCTAATTACCTAAATCACTAGTAAGCGCGTGCGGACCCTAACTAGAGTCTAAAAGAGGTCTTTAGTATTAATAATATTTTTACTAACAAGACTAACAAGAAAAAGCCTTTCGTCGAAAAGGTTAAAAAACTAAGGTGGGAGGCTATAAAAGCGAATAGTTTTAGGGATAATAGAGACTAGCGCGACCTGCGTAATTAAGCTATCGTCTTCTTTAATAAGTATATAAAGGAGTCTGATAGCGAACTTATTAACTTTACTAAGCTTACTTAATTTATCGTCTTAAAGCAGTCCCTTTAGTACCTCTTCAAGAGTACGCTGGCAAATGGGTTGGGTATACCCAGTCTTGGGTTGGGGTTGGGTTGGGGTCGCACAGACCATGGGTTAGGGTTGGGTTGGGGTCGCACAGACCATGGGTTAGGGCTGGGCTGGGGTCGCACAGACCAAGTGGTAGGGTTGGGCTTGGGTTGGGCTGGGTTGGGTTGGGGTTGGGTTATATTTTTTGGGTACTTTAACGGAACAACACTTAATTAAGATAATGTGTACACGTTGATGATATAGTAGATACATAAAACGAGATATATTAACACAGCTAATTATCACGGTAGCGCTGAGGACGCTGGCGCTTTCGAGGTGGCAATTGACGCTCCTCCTGGACCTCTTCCTCCGACTCTTCTTCTGTAGTCTGGTTCTCCTCATCTATATCGAAGGTATGCTCTAACGAGGCTGGAAGCTCAAAAAGATCATTAACCTCGTCAATTGGCTCTCCATCCTCCCCTAATTGAGCAACTAGGTAGTCTAGACCCTGTTCTTCCTCTTGAGATATTGTATCCTTAAGAACCATTATCTGCTGTATTGTCCGGGCAGATAGTCGGTGCCTCCGACTACCAATAACATCCTTAGCAACATTGAAAACTCTTTCAACCCCAACCTGAGCAATTGGTATCGCTAGTATATCCTTCGCCACTTGGGATAGTCGTGGGTAGGTAGGCTCGTTCGTCTTCCACCAATCTAGAATATCGAAAGAGTCATCTGTCATTACACAGGCAGTACTAAGGTAGGACTCTCCTTCTTGGCGGGTTGGGCCAGTTGTCTTGTCTGATTCTACTAGTGAAGAGTTCTGGGAAGAAAAGCTGTTTAACGCTGATGTAGGGGGAGGAGCTGGCTTTCTGAACCACTCATTCCCAAGTGACCTCCTTTTGACTATGCTAGAGCCTGGGGTTGAACCTCTCCCGTCCGTATTATCATAACGATCAAGGTAAGCAAGAAATTGGCCTCGGTAGAGATGCTTGTACTGTGGCTCCCATGAATCGTCCTATAAGCGTAATTAGAGCGTGACTGTGATAAATAGCTGTGATAATCATACTTCATATGCTGTAAGCTTCTGCGTTGGATCAAGGATAGTGGCACAATTAAACAAGAACCCACGTTCTGCGTCTGTCTTCGAATAGTACTTGCTCAGTTTTAGACGACCCCTGTCAGCTGCAGCTCGTACTACGTCTAGCCATTCCCTATCATCTTGATTTTCTTCATCCTCATCTAGGTCCTCTGACATTTTGTCCAAGAAATCAAACAGTCGATTGTACATTAACCAAATATACTGAATCTGGGGCTTCTCGTTCTGGCTGAGGAAGCTAGTTGCTGTTTTAAACCGTTTAAGCATCTCAGTAACGAGTTCGAGATGATGCCACTCAGTCGAAGATAAGCGGAGGCGTTTAAGATCCCGGAAATCAATCTCAGCCATTTGATTGTTGTCTAGAGAGCTATCCAGGTGACTACCTGGCCTTAGCAAGATTTCTTGTTTAAGCCATTCATCAATATATTTTTGGATTTTGAGCGCGCGCTCTAACATGTCGTATGTTGAGTTCCATCGGGTTTTCACGTCGCGGATAACAGATAATCGCTCCTTTGGCGGTAGATGTTGTTGTACCGCAATAAACCGCTCAAAGCGTTGAGGTGATACGTCAATAGCGATACAAATCGCCCTTATCTAGTCTATTATTAGTATGTGATAAATGAATGTGTTAAAAGCGAAATACCTTGCGAAGGGAATTTGGGACTGAAATATGCGTCTCAATGTCCTGTATATGACGTCTCTGTAGGGTATCCCTTGCTCCTAACTCTGTAGTTGCTGCTAGCCGAAGGTGTTGGATAATATCCTGGACAACGAGGTTGATAATATGGGCAAGGCAAGGGATAGTGTTTTCTCTGGCACTCCACTGAATGTCGACTTCTTGGAGTTTAGACTGGAGAGTGCGAGCAAGTACGCTATTGTTACTAGCGTTATCACAAGTAATAGCTAGAAGCTGGGTTTTGGTCTTTGTATCCAGAAGAATATGCAGTACCTCGTCTGCTATAGAAGTACCGGTGTGCCTGCCGCGCATAGGGAGAAAGTCAAGTAGCTTTTCCTGAAGTTTCTAGTCTTTGTTAATGTAGTAACCCTTTACCGCAAGAAAGCAGAGGTGATTAGCTGCAGACCAGGCATCTAAGGCGATTGAGATCTTTGTTGATTTTCCAAGATCTCGAAGGATAGACCTTTTTGCTTCCTCATGTTGACTCTTGAATATCGTCTTGAATTTACAACGACTAATTATCACAGTATCTGGTCGAAGGAACCGAAGAAATCGATGGAAAGATGGTCGTTCAACTGTTCGGAATGACCAGTTGCTGTCGATTACTACCCGTACAAGCTCCTTTTCAAAGGTAGTAGTAGTGTAAGCTGGTATTGATGAAGTACTGTTTCTTTGTTGACGTTGGGATAGAGTAGAGGCCGATAAGTCTGCCTCATTATGAATAGGAGTAAGGACATTTCGACAGCTTTTTGTTTTAAGATGAGTAATAAGGTGCTTTGTCCCAATACCACCTAGATTTGGATGCTGGAGTGCAAGACTACAGTTGTAGCAGAACACGTAGGGGTGGCCAGTTCGAAGCTCAGCAGCTTCTCCAAATCGTAACCATACTGTGCCATAGCGAGTAGGAGAGTTCCATCGTGGGTTATCATTTTTAGGGTTTATACCCCAGCTAGTATTACTCCACGACGCTGTCCATGTCCCTAAGATCTCACTTACACTATAATCTTGCAGAAAACGATTATTTGGATATTTCACTAATCCAATCGTTCTCCTGTCACCCCCCTTTGTAACCTG